ACAAAAACGTAAGCTCGGCTGAAAAACGAGTAGTTTCATTGATGCAAGGAAGAGGTTGAGTACAACATTGCCTAGGGGACTCTTAAGGGGTTGGGACCATCCTGGGAACTCAGAGAAGGTTGAGTCCTAGGGGAGAAAGGCTAGAGAAGGATGGGAAACGTCCTAGCTAGGTCAGCAAAGCCAACCACACTTGGATGTTCAGAGCTGTACTCAAGGCTACCAATAGTGAGTCAAGCCAACCATGAGTCAGCTTGTCTTCCCACTTGCACCCTCTTGCAAGCTGCTTCCAGGAAGACCACACTTCTCAAAAGGAGGGTGGTAGAGTTCCACTTGACCACCTGTACTTCTTGTCTCATTCCCTGTCCCTGCACCATTGGCATGACAACAATGAAAGGGTGGCAAGGGAAATGCTGCCAACAGTGCACCATGACTACGGAACAGTAACTTTCGACAGCTGTCACGTGCTGCTCCAATGCTGGGTTGTCCTGAAACTCGGTGAACATCTGCAAAACAAGGCAAAGGACTGCCACACTAATTTTCAGACCAATCAATGCTTGGTAGATGAGTCAGCAGCCGAAATGGTGAACTCGGGTGTTACCAAAAAAGAGTAACACACACTTCCGGGATGCCATAAATCTTGAAACTAAAAATGATGCCATGCCTTGTAAACTGCTTCAATGATTCTGAAACTTTGAGGGAATGAAGAACACATGTTCAAGCACCACCCCACAAAATTCCAGAAGCTGAGCAGGCTTGTAGGCTGAATGGGAGTGCGATGACCGTGCCACTGTAGTACTTTGGCACAACACTACCTGCGGCCCCACCATCTACCAGCGGCCCCGCCACCTACCTGCGGCCCCGCCGCCTACCCGCGGCCCCGCCACATACCTGTGCGGCCCCGACGCCTACCGGCGGCCCCGCCACTTACCTGCGGCCCCGCCACCTACCAGCGGCCCCGCCACCTACTTGCGGCCCTGCCGAACCGCCCAGCAGCCGAGCCGCCCAGCAACCGAGCCGCCCAGCCGCCGAGCCGCCCAACAGCCGAGCCGCCCAGCAGCCGAGCCGCCCAGCCGCCGAGCCGCCCAGCCGCCGAGCCGCACAGCAGCCGAGCGGCCCAGCAGCAGAGCCGCCCAGCTGACGAGCCGCCGAGTCGCCCTATAGCCGAGCCGCCCGAGCTGCCCTGTCCGGTAAGAGCAACGCCTCTTTTACAGCACTGCCCTCACCCTACTGTTTGCGCTGCTAGTCTAGTGCTGTCATGGCTACCCCTAGTGTCCTTGCTTTTGACGCTGAGGGTCGGGCCATTGACTTTGACATCTGGATAGATGACCTGCAGCTTTTCTTACAGTGCAATAGGGCAGACGGTCTCTCTCTCTTTGACCTCACCTCTAGCGCCTCTCCTGCCCCTGCTGCTGATGCTGACGCCACTGTTCGCTCACAGTGAGCCACACGCGATGCTGCTGCACGTCTTGCTGTGCGTCGCCACCTGCCTACCTCTGAGCGTGCGCACTTTAGCCAGTATAAGAGTGCTCAAACCTTGTACGACGCTGTAGTTGCACGCTACTCCTCCCCTGCCACTGCTGCCCTTAGCCGCCTCATGCTACTGTACCTCTTTCCTGACCTTGCTGCCTTTCCCACTGTCGCTGACCTCATTACGCAGCTCTACACTAGTGACACTTGCTACCGCGCTACGCTTCCTGCTGAGTTCTGCGCCAAGAACCCCCCCCCCCCCATGTACATCATGAGAAAACTAGAACGAGAATGGTGTGAACTATGAATGAAGCGAGTACAAATATGAATCCCTAGTTGGGTTGTACCCCCTATGGGATACCCTACTATAGCCTACACAATAGCATAAGCTATAATGTTCTACCACACCCCCATAGGCAAAGTGGGGGAGAACAAGTGGTCACAAGACCAGTCAAGCAAAGCAAAGCAAAGCTCAGGGTGGATCACAAAGTCACCACACATTCCGAGCACAAGTTCAAAGGCCAAAAGGCTAGTTCACATGCAAGAGCACATATATATATATATATATATATATATACGAGGCTAAGCAAGCAAGAGCAGGAGTATATATATGTGACAGTACAAGCAAGGTCAAGAAGTGAGCAAGTGAGGCAAGACAGGCACAAGACCCAGCTGAGTGCAGAAGCGCTGATGATCACAAGGCGCAAGTGCCTTGGTGAAAACATCAGCAGTGTTGGCCTCAGAGGCCATGTACGCAAGCCGCAACTGTCCACGCTGCTGTAGCTCACGAGCAAGAAAGTAACGAAGAGCAATGTGCATTGTCTTGTGCTCCAGTCGCTGCTCTCGACACAAGGCCAGCATGGCCTTGTTGTCTACGTACAGGACTGGAGGAGAACGAGGCGGCTCTCCAAGGCCGGTCAGCAGGTAGGTGAGCCAGCGAAGCTCCTGGGCAGCCATAGCCCTGGCGTAGATCTCAGCCTCACGACTGGAGCCGAGAACAGAAGACGAGCGGGTAGCCCGCCACGAAACAGAGCCGGAACCAAGACTGAAGGTGTAACCCTGTGACAACCGCTGCGTAGCCTGGTCGTCCGCCCAAGAAGCGTCCGCGTGCCCAGTGAGGACCACTGGACTCCGCCCTCCAAGCACAAACCCCATGCCCGACGTACTGCACAAGTAGCGCAACACCCTCTTCGCTGCAGCCATTTGCTCCGGTCTGTGTCTCCCAAAAGCAACATAGCGTGCAAGAATGCTAAGAGGGTATGCAAGGTCAGGTCGTGTGCAGGTCATCATGTACATGAAGCAGCGAACAAGCTCTGGATACGGGCCACTCGACTCTACGGACTCATCCGAAGGCAGAGCTGAGAGCGAGTGGCAAGTAGGCAGAGGAGTGGCCTGAGGCGAGGAGTACGTGAAGCCGAAGCGCTGAAGGGCCTGCTGCACCATGTGTGACTGAGTCAGGGTAATGGTGCGGCGTGCTCTGTCCCGGGTGATCTGCAAGCCAAGGTAGCAGCACAGTTCACCCAGGTCTGTGCACGTGTGTCGCTTCTGCAGCTCGGACTTCACGTAGGCGAGTCCAGCAGTGTCAGCTGTGGCAAAGACCAAGTCGTGGACGTACACAAGGATGTAGAACGGCGGCAGAGAGGTGTCGGTGCGCAGAAACAGCGACGGGTCCGCAGTAGAGGGAGCAAAGTCAAGAGCCGCAAGCGTAGTCCTCAGTGTGTTGTGCCACTCACGTGGCGCCTGGCGGAGACCGTAGACTTGACGCCGGAGACTCCACTGGGTACCAGGAGGGAAAGACCCAGTGAAGCCAAGTGGGCGGCGCAGCCAGATCTACTCGTGCAAGCTGCCCTGCAGGAAAGCTGTGCTGAAGTCGAGAGAGTGGAGCTCGTAGTCACGGTGAGCAGCAATGTGCAGCAGTACCCGAAGAGTGGTCATCTTCGGGGTGGGGGAGAAGGTCTAAAAGTAGTCCACTCCCTGCCACTGACTGAAGCCACGAGCCACGTAACGCGCCTTGAAGACAGGCGGAAAACCCGGCGGCTGCTTCACCCTGAAGATCCACATGCCACTGACGATGTTCGCCCGAGGAGGGGGGACAGCGTCAACGTAGGTGCCTGTGGACTTCCAGGAAGCCATCTCTGCATCCATAGCTGCCTGCCACTTAGAGGAGTAGGGACCCTCTATCGCCTCCGCGTAAGAGCGCGGAGTCGGGATGTCAAGTGCATCCGGGTCTCCCTCAGGGGTAAGCAGTACGGACACGAGATGAGGTGAAGCAGCTGCCAGACACTGGAACTCCTCCTGCCTGTCCTCAAGGACGTCCGTGCCAAGGGCACACTCACCCCCGACGGACGGAGGACAGACAGACTCAGACTCAGCGACAAGACTAGCAGCGTAGTCTAAGCGACAGCGAGCAGCAAAGTCGACGAGCTCAATAACGAGAGCACACGCAGTAGTAGACTCAAAAGAAGGGTCAGTGACAACAGTAGCAAGGAGACGCGTGACAGTAGGACTGGCAGCACGAAGAAAGTCCGACTCAGGGTCGGCAAGTGCAGGAAGAGAGGACTCAAGAAGGGAAGGCAAAGGGGCACGCAGAGGAGCAGTAGACAGACGCAGAGACATCCGGTGCGTGCCAGGGACAGGAGGAGGACGCTGGCGCGAACTGCAACCACTAGCGCGAGCAGCACAAACAGGCGACGCAGGACGAGACGCAGGCTCACGACGCTTAGTAAGACCTCCCGTAGGACCAGCGTAGGGAGAAGGAGCAGGCAAAGGGGAGGCAGGCTGAAGCTGTGACTATGACGGGACAGGCTGTGGACACTCTAAGGGAGGAGAAGGACCAGTAGAAGGAGGAAGACCAAGAACCTGCTGCAGGAGTGGAACAAAGTACGGTCGAGGCCACGTGACAACGCCGGAAGCAGCAGGGAAAGCACCAGTACCCTCAGCAGGAGCACCCGCTCCAGCAGCACCTCCAGCAGCACCAGGAGCACCCCTAGTAGGACCGCCAGCGGTAGTCTCAGCGCCAACACCCTCAGCAGCACTAGCTCCAGTCGAACCCCTAGGCCCAGCAGCTCCAATACTCCCAGTACGAGCACCTCCGGGACCCGCGACCGCACCACCCTCAGCAGCCGAAGAACCTCCAGCACCAGCAGTACGGCGTTAGCGCCGAGCAAACCACTTGCGCAGCTCATGTGGAGAGAGTGGCTCCCGGCAAGAAGAAGCACCCCGAGAACCTCCAGGCGGAGCACCTCCACTCCCAGCACCCCCAGGCGTAGCACCTCCAGGCTCAGCACCCCCAGGCGTAGCACCCCCAAACTCAGCACCTTCAGGCTCAACACCCCCAGGCTGAGTACCCCTAGGCTCAACACCCCCAGACGCAGTACCCCCAGGCTCAGCACCCCCAGACTTCGCACCCCCAGGTCCAGCATCCCCACGCTCAGCACCCCCAGCAGCACCAGAGTCACCAGTGACCTCGACAGGCTCGACTGCGTCTACCTGGGACACACCTGAAGGGGCAGGACCCTGAGGGGGGAGGGAGTCTACCTGGGGGGGACCTGGTACAAGGAAGAGCGGGGGTGGGGGGAGGGACGGAGTGCGGTAGGGGAAGAGGCGGTAGTAGGGGACCGACTCGTCAAACGTGACGTCCTGGGAGGACATAACACGTCGAGAGGTGGGGTGGTAGAACTGCCACTCAGGCGCGTCAGGGGGGAACCCCAGGAAGACGCAAGGAGCAGCACGAGGGGATAGCTTGTCCGCAGACAAGTCGCGGACAAACGCCCGAGATCCCCAGACCCGGAACGCAGACGCATCGCCAACCTTCCCCGTCCACAGTAAGGCTGGGGAGGTCTCCGGCCTGGAGACCCTGGGGTGGAGGTTGATCTGATGCGCCGCGTACCTGACCGCAAACGGCCACAGAAAATGTGGGGCAGCCGCATGTTTCATAGACGTACGAGCGACGTCCATGACCATGCCAATGCGGCGCTCAGCTATCCCATTTTGACGGATGCCTCGTGCGCGACAGTAGGCTCGCAGTAGGCCAGAGGAAAACTCTTCGCCTCTGTCCGAGTGCAGACGCAGAACAGGGAAGTCCGAGCCAAAGCTCCGCCTGAGCAGGAGACGAGCCGCGCGGATCCAGTCGATCAGCACCTCAGTGACATCACCCTTGCTGCGCAAGGGGAAGACCGTGGTGTAACGCGAGTAGTCGTCAACAAGGAGCAGGAAGTAGCGCTCGTGACCCTGTCCACGGACGCGGGCAAGGCCCCACACGTCCATGTGAAGCGTCTGCAACGGGGCCTCTGTCAGAGGAAACTGGGAGGAGTGAGGGGCAGCCCGCTGGCGCCCCTCGATACAGGAGACACAGGCAGGGCTAGGGCCCTGAGGAAGGGGAGGGAGGGACCGGGGGAGACCAGACACAAGAAGACGGGAGGCCATGCCTTTGAGCCGAAGCAGAGAGGGGTGACCAAGACGGTGGTGCCAGAGGAGAGTCTCATGAGACAAGAGACGACACGAACAGGGGGCAGACTCACGACCAGACCTAGACGCTGCAGCAAACACCTGACCGGACAAAGCGACTCTACCAGACTCAGTAACGGGAGGAGACGCAGTGGTCAGTGTGTACAGGCTCGACCCCGGCTGACGGGTAAACGTAGCCAGGTGCCGGCCTGTGCTAGCCTCTGTACAGTGCGTCACCCGCTGACGCGCAGGAGTGAACTGGTGTACTCCCCCATTTTGTAGGTCAGCACCACTCACCAAGTTTGTCGAGAACGAGGGGAGGTAGAGACCAGACAGGGTGCCAGAGGGAGCCGCTGGACACGGGAGGACTGTGGAGAAGCGAGACAGCACAGGACCCCCGGAGGGGTCAGCCAGAGACACCGCAACCGGCCGACTAATTGGCGTGAGTGTGGTGCGGTCCCGAAAGAAGGAGCGAGACACCCCAGAGTCAAGGGTGAAGGTGAGGGAGGCCGAAGCCGACGTAGTACCTGAGAGCGCAGACTCACCAGTACATGAGGACGCAGACACACTAGCACCTAGAGCAGCAGCGTCGCAAGCACCTAGGGCAGCAACCTCAATGCCCGGATCGGGCGGGAAACAGCGGTAGCAATCACCCTCATCACTATGAGACACAGCATACATGGCAGAGAGAATAGCATCAAAGTCAAGATCAAAGATGGCAACACCTTCCCTAGACAGCTCGCTCAGCGAGGAATCTCAGAGGCCTCCGGGAACTGGTGACGCCACATGTCCGTGAGGCGGCCAAAGCAGCGCTGGGTGGGGTGCGGGCCCCCACACTGCTCACCCGCACGGTCGCCGGTGCGCAGGACGTAGGTGCACGGACCAAAACCCCCACCCCGCTGGCGTGCAGTGTACCACTCCCGAAGCTGCTAAGGGGACAGGGTCTCACGACCGCGCTGCTGCTGCTGGCGCGCGCCACTACCGGAGCCACTCCTCTCTGAAGACCCGCGACCAGCTCCACCGGCACCCCCACCGCCTCCGCGGCCTCCGCTGCTGCCGCCGCCTCCACCGCCGCCTCCTCCGCCACCTCCGCTCCCACCGCCATCGCCGCCGCCGCCTCCGCCTCCATTGCCGCCACCGACCCCCCCAGCCCCACCTCCACTCCCACCGCCACCCCCACTACCCCCACCGCCTCCACCTCCACCTCCACCGCCCGCTCCTCCAGCTCCCTTGCCCCCCTTGCCCTTGCCAGGGTGGCGTCTCCCGCTAGGGGCAGACGCCGCACCGACCGACTCAAAACCAAGGAAGTCGGTCGTAGCAGTAGAGGCAACAGAGGGCAGCAGGGGGGAGGGGGAACACCCCTCAAAGATGGGGGTGCGCGGGTCACCTTCAGAGGCTCCTACAGCGACTTTACTCTTCTCCGCTGCTAAGAGGGCCTTCTCGAGGAGGTCGACAGTGAGTGTGGTGGGACAGACTGAGAGAAAGTGGTCCGTGACTACTCGAAGGGAGTCAGAAAGGCGAGTGACTAGGAAGTACAGAGTGATGTACATGGGGGGGGGGTTCTTGGCGCAGAAGTCAGCAAGGAGTGCAGCACGGTAGCGAGTGTCACTAGTGCGGAGGTGCGTAATGAGGTCAGCCATGGTGGGAAAGGCAGCAAGGTCAGGGAAGAGGTACGGTAGCATGAGACGGCTCAGTGCAGCAGTGGCAGGGGAGGAGTAGCGCGCGACTACAGCGTCGTACAAGGTCTGAGCACTCTTGTACTGACTAAAGTGCGCATGCTCGGAGGTAGGGAGGTGGCGACACACAGCAAGACGTGCAGCAGCGTCGCGCGTGGCCCACTGGGAGCGAACAGTGGCGTCAGCATCAGCAGCAGGGGCAGGGGAAGCGCCAGAGGTAAGGTCAAAGAGAGAGAGGCCGTCTGCCCTATCGCACTGTAAGAACAGCTGCTGGTCGTCTACCCAGACCTCAAAGTCAATGGCCCGACCCTCAGCCTCAAAAGCGAGGACACTAGGGGTAGCCATGACGACAGACGACTAGCAGTGCAAACAGTGAGGGGGGGGGGGGGGGGGGGGAGGGCCGTGCAGTGGGAGAAGGCGCTGTGCTCACCAGACGGGGCAGCTCTGGTGGTCCCGAAGTAGGGAAGCAGGGCGGCTCGGCTGCAGAGTGGCTCGGCGGCTCGGCTGCTGGGCGGCTCGGCGGCAGGGCGGCTCGGCGGCTCGGCGGCAGGGCGGCTCGGCGGCTCTGCTGCTGGGCGGCTCTAGATCAGGGCGGCGCGGTGGCCGGGCGGCTCGGTGGTTCTGCCGCTGGGCGGCTCGGCGGCGCTGGTTCAGGGCGGCGCGGCGGTCGAGGGTAGGGCAGCGGGTGGGCCGCAAGTAGGGCGCCGGTGGGCCGCAAGTAGGGCGCCGGTGGGCCGCAAGTAGGGCGGCGGGTGGGCCGTAAGTAGGGCGGCGGTAGGGCCGCAGGCAGGGAGGCGGTAGGGCCGCAGGTAGGGCGGCGGTAGGGCCGCAGGAAGGGCGGCAGTAGGGCCGCAGGTAGGGCTGCAGGTAGGGCCGCAGGTAGGGCGGCGGGTAGGGCCGCGAGTAAGGGTGGCACGCGGCGCCGCTAGGGAGGCGCCGGGCCGTGCGGCGACGGGCCGGGACAGGCGGCGCGGGGCCGGGAAGGGCGGCGCGAGGGCGCCGACGGGCCAGGACGGGCGGCGCGAGGGCGCCGACGGGCCGGGAAGGGCGGCGCGAGGGCGCCGACGGGCCGGGTAGGGCGGCGCGAGCCGCAGGGAAGGGGCGGCGCGAGCCGCAGCAAAGGGCGGCGGGGCCGCAGGTAGGTCGTGGGGAGGTTGCTAGGGCGGCTAGACGACGTAAGAGCCCGGAGCGCGACTCGGGCCGAGCGCGCTTCGGGCAGGAAAAAAAAAATTATCGATGTGGTGGGCCCTAGGCACAGTTCCCACGGGGGAAAACCTGCTCGATACCATGAGAAAATTAGAACGAGAATGGTGTGAACTTTGAATGAAGCGAGTACAAATATGAAACCCTAGTTGGGTTGTGCCCCCTATGGGATACCCCACTATAGCCTACACAATAGCATAAGCTATAATGTTCTGACACATCACTCTCTACTACATAGTCACCCGCCTCCCTGACTCCCTTTGTGTAGTCAGGGACCACTTCCTCTCAGTCTGTCCCACCACTCTCACTGTTGACCTCCTCGAGAAGGCCCTCTTAGTAGCGGAGAAGAGCATAGTCGCTGTAGGAGCCTCTCGTGGTGACCCGCGCACCCCCATCTTTGAGGGGTGTTCCCCCTCCCCCCCTTTGCCCTCTGTAGCCTCTACTGCTGCGGCCGACCTCGTTGGGCTTGAGTCGCTCGGTGCGGCGTCTACCTCTAGCGGGAGATGCCGCCCTGGCAAGGGCTGTCAGAATGTTATGCTCTAGCCTGTAGTGGGGTGCTCTATAGCGAGTACAACCCATTAGGGTTTGCTATATGTATTCTCATTGCTGCTAGTGAACTTCCCCTCTTTTGCCTAACTCTCTCTTGCCTAGCTAGGTAAACCCTAGCTATGGCTCCTTGTTCCAACTACTATTTTGACATGCTATCAGAGCAGTGTCGCTCCTGGCCTGTGGGCCCGCCTGCTTTCGCTGCCCTACTGTCTGTCGCGCGCCCCGTGGCGATGTACATCCCGCCACGTGCTCGGGGCGCATGGCGGTTTTCTGCCCAACGCGCGCTCGGGGCGCGCGGCGGTTTTCTGCCTCACGCGTCACCCCAAGGACCCGCGGGTCCCTCCCTGTCGACCGTCGTGTCACCCCAGGGACCCGCGCGTCCCTCGTCGTCGACCGTCGCACCGCCCCCGGAGAACCGCGCGTCCAACCCGTCGACCGTCGCGTCGCCCTTAGGGACCTGCGCGCGCCCCCCGCGATCCCGTTGCGTCGCCCTAGGGACCCGCGCGCGGTCCCTGCCATCCCGGCGCGCCACCCCGTGGGACCCGTGCGCCGCTTCGTGGACCCGCGTGTCGCCCTGCGGCCCCCCCTCCCCGCACATCTGAGTTCGCTTACCGCACATCCGAGTTCGCTTCCCGCACACTTGTGCACGATTCGCGCACACCTGAGGTCGCTTACCGCACACTCAGGGTATGGGGTTGACGGGTATGGGGGTGGCGGGTGTGTGAGCTGTCACCTGCTCCTCCTCCTCCTCCGTCTCCCACTACTGCAGCTGCCGCTGAGGGGGGTGGGTGTGTGGGAGCCGAATGAGTGGTGCTAGGGGGGTGCTGTGGGAGTCGAGCTAGGGGTGAAGCAGGGGGTATGTGTCAAGGGGGTGGGACTGTTTGGGGAGGTTGCACGGAGGTTGCCGTCGTGTCGCCAGCAGCACCTGTAGTCCGAGGAGTTGCTTCGGTAGCCCGGTCGCAGCCAGCTGTGCCAGTCGCCCGTGGGTCTGCTTCTCGTCTGCCGCTACTTTTAGCCGCGGGGCCAGTTACTCCAGTAGTCCGGAGCGTTGTTCTGGTAGCCGCTGTGCCAGTGTGACTCCTGTTGCCTGTGTGTCTGCAGCTTCAGCCGTCGCCTCCTATCTCCTCTCCTCTTACAGTCCCTCCTGCTCCTCCCTTGCCCGCTGTGACTACCACTAGCTTTGCTCATAATTGTGAACTTTAAACTAATGCATCTTGAACTTGTGCTCTGAATGTGTGGTGACATTGTGATCCACCCTGAGCTTATTCTGCTTTGCTTGCTCTGCTGATTACACCCCACTTTGGCTATGGGGGTGTGTCAGAATGTTATGCTCTAGCCTGTAGTGGGGTGCTCTATAGCGAGTACAACCCATTAGGGTTTGCTATATGTATCCTCATTGCTGCTAGTGAACTTCCCCTCTTTTGCTTAACTCTCTCTTGCCTAGCTAGGTAAACCCTAGCTATGGCTCCTTGTTCTAACTACCATTTTCACAAGGGCAAGGGGGGCAGGGGCGCTAGAGGAGCTAGCGGGGGCGGTGGAGGCGGCGGTGGAGGCGGCGGAGGAGGTGGGGGTGGCGGTGGGGGTGGTGGCGGGGGTGGCGGTGTCGGTGGCGGCAGTGGAGGCGGAGGCGGCGGCGGTACCGGTGGGAGCGGAGGTGGCGGGGGTGGCGGCGGTGGAGGAGGCGGTGGCAGAGGAGGTGGAGCTGGTTGGGGTGGCGCTGCGCAGAGGGTCAGCTCCGGTGGTCAGCGCCAGCAGCAGCGGCAGCGCACTCGTGACATCCCCCCCCCTCAGCAGCTCCATAAGTGGTACGCTGCACGCCAGCGGGGTGGGGGTACTGGTCCGTGCACCTACGTCCTACGCACCGGCGACCGCACGGGTGAGTAGTGTGGGGGTGCGCACCCCACCCAGCGCTGCTTTGGCCGCCTGACGGACGCTTGGCGTCACCAGTTTCCGGAGGCCACGGAGATCCCCCGCTGGGGTGAGCTGTCTAGGGCGGGCGTAGCTATCTTTGATCTTGACTTTGATGCTATTCTTGCTGCCATGTATGCTGTGACTATTAGTGATGAGGGTGAATGTTACCGGTGTTTCCCGCCCGACCCGGGCATTGAGACTACTGCTCTAGGTACTGGTGAGGCTACTGCTCTATGTGCTAGCGAGGCTGCTGCTCTAGGTGCTAGTGCGTCTGCTTCCTCAGGTGCTGGTGAGTCTGCGCACTCAGGTACCGAGTCGGCTTCGGCCTCCCTCACCTTCACCCTTGACTCGGGGGCGTCTCGCTACTTCTTTCGGGACCGCACCACACTCAGGATGGGGGAGTTCACCAGTTCACTCCTGCGAGCCAGCGGGTGACCCACTGCACTGACGCTCGGACAGGCCGACACTTGGCCACGTTTACTCGTCGGCCGGGGTCGAGCCTGTACACACTGTCCACTACGTCTCCCTCTGTCCCTGCGTCTGGTCAGGTAGCTGCTTCGGGTCAGGTGTTTGCTGCAGCGTCCAGGTCTGGTCCTGAGTCTGCCCCCTGCTCGTGTCGCCGGCTGTCTCACGAGACTCTTCTTTGGCACCACCGCCTTGGTCACCCCTCCCTGCTTCGTCTTCGAGGCATGGCCGCTCGTGTCCTTGTCTTTGGTCTTCCCCGGTCCCTCCCTCCCCTTCCTCTGGGGCCAGACCCTACCTGTGTCCCCTGTGTCGAGGGGCGGCAGTGAGCTGCCCCTCACACCTCCCAGTTTCCTCCGACAGAGGCCCCGCTGCAGACGCTTCACATGGACGTGTGGGGCCCAGCCCGCGTCCGTGGAGAGGGTCACGAGCGCTACTTCCTGTTGGTGGTTGACGACTACTCGCGTTACACCACAGTCTTCCCCTTGCGCAGCAAGGGTGATGTCACTCAGGTGTTGATCGATTGGATCCGCGCAGCTTGTCTCCAGCTCAGGCAGAGCTTTAGCTCGGACTTTCTTGTTCTGCGTCTGCACTCTGACCGAGGCGGAGAGTTCTCCTCTGACCTTCTACGAGCCTACTGTCGTGCACGAGGCATCCGCCAGACCTTCACGCTTCCGGACTCTCCGCAGCAAAATGGGATTGCTGAGCGCCGCATTGGCATGGTCATGGACGTCGCTCGTACGTCCATGATGCATGCGGCTGCCCCCCATTTTCTGTGGCCGTTTGCGGTTCGGTACCCGGCGCATCAGATCAACCTTCACCCCAGGGTCTCCAGGCCAGAGACCTCCCCAGCCCTGCTGTGGACGCGGAGGGTTGGCGATGCGTCTGCGTTTCGTGTCTGGGGATCTCGGGCGTTTGTCCGCGACTTGTCTGTGGACAAGCTGTCCCCTCGTGTTGCTCCTTGCGCCTTCCTGGGTTTCCCCCCTGACGCGCCAGGGTGGCAGTTCTACCACCCCACCTCTCGCCGTGTTTTGTCCTCCTAGGACGTCACGTTCGACGAGTCGGTCCCCTACTACCGCCTCTTCCCCTACCGCACTCCGTCCCTCCCCCCGCCACCGCTCTTCCTTGTACGAGGTCCCCCTCAGGTAGACCCCCTCCCCCCTCAGGGTCCGTCCCCTTCAGGTGTATCCCAGGTAGACGCGGTCGAGCCTGTCAGCCTG